CCCCCCCCCCCCCCCCCCCCCCCCCCCCCCCCCCCCCCCCCCCCCCCGCCCCCCCCCCCCCCAAACAAACGGATTTCCAGCCATAGAAATCAAGAAATCAGTTTGTTTCCCCTTGATACCTATGATTCATGAAAATACTCAATTCGAATTTCAGATCTATATAAAACACCCATTGTATTATCATACGTATTTTTTTCATCCCTAAAATACAACGTTTATACTTGTAAAATGTGTTCTAGTTGTGATAAAAGATCCTTTTGGCGGATATTTCATCATACCTGTATAAGATAATTCTTTACTGATCACACAAAGGTCAACTTCAGTATAGAGTTTGCTCAAATCAGTGAACACAAATATAACCGATCGTGTCTCATTCTACAACGACTTCGAAGTAGCCTTGATAGTTTTTGTGTGATCTTTTATATCAGAAAATCAGTTGACGGAGACTATTGGAATGTTGCTTTGTAATTTGCGGGGAGAATGGAACACAGGATGTAGCTGTGGACGTTCATTCTCTACACTCACACCCACAACCTCAGGTCACTAGTGCTGAAACTTTCAGACATGGGAGATCTTGATTAGAGGTATATGTGATAAAAATTTTAGCTCTCTAGATTGAAAAAAAAGTATTAAGAGCAACCTATCATTAGTCATTATGTGACATTCTTTAGTTGCCACGCTAACATGTACTCTATTGTTAAATAACTTTGTGGTTTCATCCATCTTCACCATACTCTAGTAATGAGAGAAATGGGGGAAAGAAAGCATTGCTTTCCTCTGCAACTGTCCAACATTCCAATTTTATTTTCTATTCTATACCTCATTTTTATCATTATAGAGAAAGAGGAAACGAGCAAAAAGTACGTGAATCATAGTTTTATACTTGATAATGCCAATAAAACCGAAAAATAGATATAAATGAAGAACGAAAGAATGTTTATAATAAAATTTTTGTTTCTCTCTCTCTGAATTTGATAGCGTTCGTATAGGCATCGAAAAAAAGGAACAGAGTGCATACAGCTACGCATTACAATTTTTGTTTTTCAAGTAATGGAATCTGCTTCAGCATCTGGTGCACTGGTTCTTGTTCGTTCACGTAATTACAAATGGTATCGATATTCAGCTCCTGACCCTTGGTCAGATGAGAGGCAAGAGCTATGGCACAAGTACGCAGACGTTGAAAATGAAATTAAAGAAGATGTCTTCAGAGAGAAGAAGAGCAATGTTGAGATTGATGGTAATTATATTATCGACTTTAAACTACTTATACAAGGATATCCCATCTGCAATAGGTGAAACATGTGTTTATCTTTACAGCATGGATTCATTCTTGTTTGTATGCACGAGTTAATCGAGTTCTACGTGAACCAAATAAAGTTACAGTGGAACATGTCAAAACGATCGGACCCTTCTCTTACTTACTCTGGCGATATTTAATAGACAAGAGGACTAAGGATGATTCGAAATTTTATCGTGGTGTCACTATCACAGACGAGCAACGACAGGGTGTGAATGTGTGGTGTGGGTGCATATTCATAGAAGTTCAGTATCGCACCCTCAAGTAGATCCGCGGATCTACTTTTATTGTCAGAGCAACCTTGCCCAGGTAAAATACTCGCCCAGAATATTTTTATTTTGCGTAATACCATTAATATCGTTGAAAATTGGCTTCTTCTAAGATTAGGGGGCGGATTACTTACATAGAAGTGTCTTTCTTACCGTCATCACACATCTGGCTTCATTTTATCTGTGAAAAAGATCAAAAATATCAATTTTTTTCTACTTGCGTTTCTTGTAGTTGAATATTTATATTAAAAAATATTATATGACAAAGAAAAGAGTGCATTCTTCGAAACATGTACGAGTGATTTGTTCGTTAAATACCACTTGTCTTTAGTGCGTTTCAATAATTTCTCTTCTTATTTTACGCAGCCTTTTAATTGTGTGATAAAGAGTAAATGGCTCTCGAATAAATGAGACAACTAAGCAAAACATACAGCTGAGCCATAGTTTTATACAATCGAAATAGTTGTTGATCTTATTAGTAGTCATCGGAGGCTGTGAATTTGCATTGATTAAGTTCCTTAGCTGATCCTGTTCGATCATTGATTTATTTAGTCGATGGTCGTCTTCTACCACTAGAAACCGTATATTATCTCGTGATGATTGTTGTAACTCCGTTAATCCTTCCAATGGTACAGTTTTATCGTTTCTTCCGGCCACAATAACAATGTTTTTTCTATGATCTTTGGGTAACCACAGTCTCTTCTTAAACAGAAGACCAGTTGCTGGTGCCAACAAAATTGTATTTCCATTCCACACTTGTCTTTGAAGTAAAAGCATGAGTATAAATCCACCGAAACTAGTTCCAACAATAATATCTGGTTTAAAATGATAGATAGCTATAATCGCTCTCCAAAAAGCCAGTGGAAGTAAGTAATAAGGTTTGAGGTGAGGAGTATAAGAATTAGGAAAATGTTTAGCTAGATAGAGAGATTTCCTACCATTGATACTGGATCCAAGACCATGGAAGAATAGAACACGAAGAGTAGAAGACATAATAAATGAGTTTAATCTACGAAGTAACAAACAAACAACGATGGACGGAAAAGTGCAAAAAAGCAACAAGAGTAGGTCATCAGTCCTTCTATTAAAAACCAATACGAGTCAGAACTGTTTAAACAGATTCGTGAAAAAAAGCTACAAGAAAGTGCAAATCAAATTGTCTCAAAAGAAGTAAACAGATAGACATAACTCTCTAGTTCTTTAAATTGCGCAAAATAAAGTAAACGAACAGTTTGCGAATATCCTTCGCTGAGTGGCTGACAGCTATTAGTCAATAAAACTTTTTTCTCTCCTACACATTTATGCACTACGCATTATAAAAAATATCGTTCACAGTCGCCTTCTTCCATTGTTAAAACAGAGTAGTTCAAAATAAATCAGGGAATGGCTATTTTTGGGTGTGGGTGTGGGATATGGCTAGGAATAAATATAATCGAGACATCCAAAACCATCCACACCCAATCGATAGCCCAGATTCTAGCTTTTAGAATACATCTAGTTCATTTATCAGAATCAATTTTGTGTATACAAAAAATAGGCAATTGTTTGTTAAGCATAAAAAACTGTTTTTTGTGTTACATCGTTTTTTTTCAGTCATTTTAAGTCTTAGTACCAAAACGTTGTTATTGATAAATTTGCTGGTAATTAATTTGTAGGATACACCACTCAAACCTTGGAAAATCTCACTGTCGTTTTTTTCACCTAATGCTCATGTGATCCCCAATATGAGTTCCAACTTTGACACACTATCGTATACTCATTGAGATACCTTCATGACATTTTTTTTGTCTTTTCTCTTTCATTTCTTATTCATGGACCATGTATCCACTGAGAAAACGTACAGGTAAAGAGAAATTCGTGCAGAAGCTTCGTTAGTTAGACTTTTCACTTTAAAAGTGTTAAGCCGTAACAGCTCACGTGGGGTATGTGTGACAGAACGCAAGAGGAAAAGAAAAAGCAGCCTCGGAGAGGCGTCGAACCTCCATCTTTCCTTTTTGCAAGGAAGGGGCTACCAATTGAGCTACTGAGACATTCCGCACTAATTTCTCTATCGCCCTAATTGTCAACTTAAACACATAACAAGGTGGATCTTTGCTCTGTTGCGGAAGTGGCTACATCGTCATCCTGTAACCAGCACAACAGGGTTTTGTGGTTCTAGCAGGCAAATGCAAATCCATTTGATAATAAACCAAAAAAGACTGAAAGCGATACTCGGATTTTGAAAATGATTTCATTGAAGAAGCATATCAACGAAGACAAAATGAAGTAGAGTTGAATGGTTACGTAATCTATTTCCAAGATCTCATCTGAGTCAAGAAAAGTGATCATAGAACCTCAGCATATCACCCACAGTCTCACTGCCTAGGAAAATCTGTCATCTACAAACATCAAATAAGCTGATTTATTCAATTTTATTGGTAGCGCAGAATATTTTTTCTAAGCAAGAAAATTTTCATGAAATAGTAATCACCAATGTGACTATGTCAAGGATTGCCTGGCATCGACCACGTCCCCACATCACCACATAAGGGATCGTACGAATGAGAGACATGAGAAATGGAGAATCTGCAATATCACACTGTTCAATTTTCATTTCAATACTGAAGTTCGACGTGAAAGGAAATGATTGCACAATGATGATCGTTTCTGTTCTTGGCTTCACCGATGAGTTCTCTGTAGTCATATTGGCTACGGTTGCCGAAGAAACTTCAATCTGATAAGACGAAACATGTCGAAATATCAATTTATAATTTATAGTATTCGTTATTGATGTTAATTCGACTTCTTTTATAGCCATGATACGATTGAATGTATCATCGAATGTGCAATTCGTAGACTTTATACACTGTCGATTGGCTAATGACTGACCTGTTTTAGTTGAAAACTCATCGAGAATTGGTGACAGACCTATATTATCATATGATGCAAGTGTAATCGATGCTGAACGAGAAATGAATGGAACGAGAACTGGTAGATTGGTCGGAATTTCGATTCGATAGACCGATTGTGACACATGTCGTACAGTGATAACTTTTGGGTGTGTATTAGTGAATGGATGTCGTGTACACGCAATAATAAAGACGATGAGAAAAGCGAAGGCAAGTAAAATTAATGTCCGACCAAAATACAATGTTCGTTGCATGTTTGGAATAAAGATGAGGAAGAATAATGCGGCTAGGAGAGCTATTATAACACTGATTACAACATCATGTGGTACAGGTAGTGTTTGAAACATACGACCCATCATCGGCATTGTCATACGAAGAAGACGGCTTGTCATTTCGAATGAATGAATGAGGGGAAATAGAGAGGCAATATAAGGTGCAAATGTCCAGTACCATCGCCGTTCGCCAAAAAATCGTGGTATTTGATAATGGGCCCAATGACAACCGAATTCAGTCAGTATCAATAGTAGATAAATTGGACAGACGAAAATTGACCAGATAAGAATCATGTAGAGAGAACGATAACCAAGGCAAATGGAAACGATCATAAGAATAGTATAGACAAGGAGCAATGCAGCATGCCGTTCAAAGTCGAAGCTACGTCGATTCACAGGATCTGTGTCGACTGATTTCATATGACTTGAATCTTTTTTTGGCCATTTCGCTAGAATCCATCGATAGCATATTGCCCAGAGTGCTTCCGCAGAAATCATACCGATCAAACATGGAAGACCAAAGAGAAAAAAGGCTAAAGTTGAATTACCGAACCATGACAAAGGTTGAATCTTCGACATGAGAAATGCAACGACAACGGGAAGTAGAATACCGAGAATAATTGAAAGTAGAGACGATAAGACGAATATGAAAATGAACGAGATTCGCATGATGATAGCATAATTGAAGTAGAAGTAGATAGAAAGAGAATCGTCCGATGAAGGATGCTGTCGTTGCCAAAGATGATCTAGTACAATCATTAGAATTCCGATGAGAACAACTAATCCGATAAGAATAGCTTGCACAATAGTCGATGTAGACATTTTATAGGTAGTCAGATATCGACCGAGCAGATCAAAATAGACAAGATTATCGTCTTCTACGGTGCTATATGATTGCTGAAGATTGACACGACCAAGAAGAATCTCACGAGATAGAGCAAGTGTATTCTCACCTAGATGCTGCAGAGCACCTTCTTCGACAGTCGATGGTCGATCGAGTAACGTATGATAACTATAACCATCGAGGTAGAATGCAAAATCGTACCCTAGCAATAAACCACGCGTGGCAAACTCGCTGTAATCTGTGTCTCTTCCGAGCAAATCCAGAATTTCATTTCCAATGACATTGGCATGAGGTCTTGGTACTCGTGCATAGTCAACAACAACCTGTGATGGTTTGACACGAAAAAGAATGGCTTTACCGCTGCTACCAGTTGAATCAATATTGATGAATCGTCGGACGCTTGCTTTCCAAGTATGATTACTAATGAATGCTGCAGCACCTCCCAAACTCAGTTCTTCGGCACTAGTGAATAAAACAATGAGATGTACTTGATCGAATGTGATGCTAGGATCATTGACCAGATTCGAGAGAACTTCCAGAAGAGTAACAACACCTGAACCATCGTCGCTGCCACCTGGACTGAATTCCACTATGTGCATATAAGATAAAAAAATAATAATATTTTTGTTTTTCAATCATATTCCTATTTAAATGTACCAGAATCATAGTGAGCAGCTAACATAAGGCATGGTGTATCTGGTTGTGATGATGGATTCGAAATACGAACAACAATATTTTGCAGCTGATCAATATCAAGAGTTGTAAAATTTTGTAGACTGATATCGAATTGAACATCTGACGCTGTTGAAGAACTAATTCGATGAATTTGTGAAATGAGGAAATCACGTGTGAGATAATCAGCACGAGTATTGATCACTCGTGGTCCATGCTGAGTCAGATTGGAATAGTAATCACGAGCACGTTGTTCACTGAACAAATGTGAAGGAATTGTTCGTGGTCTCACTGATGGTAATGAGTAGGACAATTCGAGTGCTAATGGGCCAGCAATAAGAAAGAGACAACCGAAGAGAATAACCCATAAAACAAGTGACTGATACAAAGTCGTTGAATTGTTTGACTTGAACAACCTGTGAAGAGGATAGAATGTAGAATAAAATAATGGAATAATCCATAAGATGAAAAAAAAATGAAATGAGATACCTTTGTAACGTTTTGACGGCATTAGTTTTACACATCTGGATGCGAGTATTCGTCGTTGTCATCAGAAAAATCAAATTTTATCAACGTAATGCAATGATGCTTATGCAGCTTGTGAAAGTAATGTATGCATATGGCTTATCGTTCGTCATAAATGTTATATGATCCTCCTCTTTCGCGTCGTTTGCGCTGTACGAACCAGGTCATTTTATAGTATAACAGTCAATAATATCCTTCTGCAGTTTTATTTTATTTGAACTGTGAATGTGATTTGTTCTATAGAGTAAAAGGTCTTAACTCTACCAGAAAAATTGATAACAACACTTGTTGCATTGGTTCATATGTTATTCAGAGATAAATAATTTACTATTAACTTAATGATGTTTATTTTCGGTACACTTATACGTTTATGTTAGAAATACTGCGCCAAGTATGGTATAATCCAAATTTCGGACTTGATATTCAAGGTGTCAAGCTGCCATGAAACGTATTTAGACATTGCTTTTAAGCAGTCATCATCAGATAGGTTCAAAGTCATAATACTACGTCGATATAACATCAATAATTTGAGAAGATAAAATATACATTAATATTGTAATAATAATTATGAAAATTCAAAAAACTAGCAACAAAGCAAATTCATAGATCAAAAAATATCCTCAAATTTAACTAGACTTTCTTTTATTTTAGTTTGTCCAGTGTTATGGTTTCAATAGATCATATCGTTTGTTACTTTGCTTCATTCAGCAATTGAATGTACTGGTATCTTTCTGCAAGAGAAGATAACTTAGTTTATTTTTGATATTTTCTAACGAACAAAATTTCATTGATTGGATCTCATTATTTACTAATCTATCATCAAGACGATGACATCGCTACCTGTTGCAGAAGGCCCGCTGTAGCTTAAATCAATTCACAAAATAGAAATTTACGTTTCTATTTAACCAATCAACAACCAATTTCCTATTTATACTGTACAACACACTCACACCCTTACCCATTGTTGGAAACGATGTTATCTTTTTACAAGTTGATTCAAGAAAGTGGTGAAAATTTAGTAATGCTAAAATTCCATTATTGTTTGCTCATAAATGGGTTTAAAGCTTTTTTTCTCCAAATTAAGTGCCCAGATGAATGAATCCAATCCGACTGTCGGATTGAATGTCCTGGGTAAGAGTTTTAAAACATATAGATTAATAATTTTTTGTCTTACGTTAGCCAAGTAAAATTCTCAATTTAAGTAAAGGACGATGTTTGTCCGTTTGATGGAGAATTCATTATGGATGATTATTGTTTGAATAAGCATACGTAAGTTTCAATTTATTCCCAACGCAAAGATATATTGTTTTTAGTGTTAGTACAACAGATTCAGCGCAGAATATTATTATGGATATTCCTGATTTTATGCACAAATCAATGAGCGTGATTTCGTCATTTAAAGAATATGTGGATATTCATTAGCAAAATGAACTTCTTTATCTTTTTATTTTTATTTTCATATTTTAATTAAACTTGACCCATTTATTTCATCTACACTTGAAAAACGTGCTATTTCTTTTGTCCCATTATTATTTTTCTTTGTGTGTGAGAAATAATTGAAAATTAGTGATTTACTTGATTCGACAAATATTTCAACCATAAATATTACGGTTTATATTTTTCACATATAATAAAACGAAAAAAGTTCAACATTAGAAAAATTCAGAAAGAATGATAGATCCTGAATATACTTTCATACTATTCAATTTTCAAAAGAAACAACGTGTTGAAAGATAAATTAATGGGTTTATAAGCGGACATAACGTGCTTTTTCTAAAAGTTTGCGTTGAAACGCATATTTTATCCTTCTTTTCTTTGTTTGTTTCGTTCTCCTTTCTTTTCACATAATTGAGTAGCATTTTTAGATGCAAGAAGACAAAATAGTATGTGAGACCGTAAATAATAAAATCAAAAAAGTTAGAAAAGTTAACGCACAATATTGTGGGCACACATTTTGGTAAGTAGTATGTTGTGACGTTTTCTCTTAGTTGAGCGTTTTTGTACAAATCTTCAATATCATTCGACGATTTTATCAGACAAGAAACTGAAAAGTTAGTAATCTAGGGGTTAAAAAATAATTTTCGAAACGAAAATAATGAATTCGAAAAAATTAATGTATTCAAGCTCGTTCCTTTTGATTCAATATTTCCTTACGATAGAATGTGCGCTTTTTATGCGAAAAAACTGACTTTTTGCCACATGTAGGGATGCACCGAGACTGAGTTGTCGGTCTCGGTCTGATATAATTAAATGTCGGTCCAGATTACAAATAATCACTTCACTAGATGTAGCTGCCATCTAAGATGTATTCGTGCGTATGTGTTAATTATGGATGATAGATTAACACGTATTGTTTTCGTACCAGCACTCACATCTCACAATTCCTACTCCAAACTCAGATCCACAACAAAATAAAATTCAAGATAGGCCAAGACGAAGTATATTCCAATCGAATGAAGTGAAGTCACTGACAGAGATCTGGACCAAGACCAAGAAGGAGAGTCTCGGTTTCGGCACATTGCTAGCCACATGCTCATCTAGGAATCAGCAATAGATTTGAAGCAAAAGAAGAAAAATTTAATAAAACAACTCACTATAGAATGACATCCATCTGCGATTTCATTATTGACTTTTGTGTTGCACAGAAAGAGGAAAAGAGAAAAAGTGACGGTAATTTTCATACTAGAAAAATAATTACCATTCCGTCACGGACAACGCGTATTGAAAAAATACCACATTCACTCTTTTTCTCAATTTTTCGTCTTTCTTGTGAGTTTAACTTTTTTTTTATTGCTCTTCTTTTATTCCTTTTAACTCCATTTTCAAACTTTATCTCAATTTGAATCGACAAGAATCAAACAAAACAGGACAAGAAAAAAGAACACACACATATATAAAAACGTATATCCCGTTTTATATTCTCCTTTCATACGTTCTTCCCCTCTCATATCTCATCACATACCGATGAAGTTTCTTTTATTGCATAGGGATAAATTTAGTACATGGAGAGAGACAAGAGAGAGAAGAAAAAACATCAAAGAATGCAATGGATGGTGCCATAACGAAACACAAAGCAGAATATACGTAGAAGATATATCCTAACTAAATTTATATCATGGTCATCGGCCATGACAGTGTTGCCTACTTCGGTTACAAGTATTCAATATTGAACTTTTATTATCTTATAACAACAGCTACTACAGAATGACTTAGAAATAATCAGAAAAACGATTGGTACTTTGGATAACGCCATTGTTATGAATGGCTATATTCTAATACGTTTACAGTCATTGATCCTTACACCTATCTGATTTTTCTAAAATAGATCTCTTGATCAAGTGGACAGTAGAAAGACTAATTCGCCACTAAAATGCCTCGATATCTTTATCATCATAAAACATCTGACAGAACAATGAGAAGTATTTTCCCTTTTAACCACACTGCCAATTAAAATTTTGATTTCTCTCGGTCAATCGTTACTCTTCATTCGTTTTAAACAATCAGAAGTCACCTATGAATTCTTTTTTGTGAACATAAATGATGCAAGGTACATAACTTCCAAACTCTTCAGTCACAGAAATAGTTTAAATGGCTATGGAAACTTGATGATGAGCAGGTGTAATATCACATTAAGCACTTAGAAATGTTGCTGAAAGTGTCTGCGATTATGCGGGTGATTATAATTACTTGCTAAGTAGTTTCCTTTTTGCAATTATAGCGCTTCGGTTCTATTGTAGATTTGATTAAAGTTGAGTACAATCGATCCGATAAAAGGTTAAGCAGTCATTGAAGCGAGCTGTTGGCGAACTTACAGAAAAAAATACGGTATCGAATCGAAATTAATCCATTGATTGTGAAATGTCAAGCAAGAACATATATTTAAAACCCATGAGTGATCTTGAGCATGTACTTGGATATCGATTCAAAAACAAAGATATACTCAAGCAATCATTGACTCATGCTTCAGCATTACACGAAAACCATCCGAAGGCTTCATATCGTGATCAATCCTCACTCGCATTTGTTGGAGACGCTGTGCTCAAGTACGCTGTCGCTCGATATTTACTTCTTAACGGAAGGGATCAGGTGGTCAAAAATTCGGCTGAGTTACATAAGGGTACCCAGACAATTATTCCTAACGCGATTTTAGCCAAAATTGCGCACGAGAAACTTCATCTGGAAGAGCATATTATACGGGGCAACGCACATGTAGCTCCCTCGGAAAAAATGCATGCGGATTGTATGGAAGCTATATTGGGTGCAATTGCTCTTGACTGTGGAGTTGATCAACAAAAAGTAATTTTCGATGTAATCGAAAAATTGTGCTCTGATCGATATCAAACACTGCTGAAGCCAATCGAAACTATTAGATTGAAATCGGCTTGCGATGAAGAGGAGGAAGACTATATCAACGTTTCTCGCTATGTGTTTTTGCGTGACCAAGCCAGGCCACTTTCGCAAAAACTAATAGTGACAGATAATTCACATAAAAGAACCCATTGGCAAAAGCTAGGTCAAGTTATTTTATGGTTATTTGCTATTTGTGGATTCTTGACTATCCTTTGGTTAATCGCTAATTTTATAATATTTCAATTATCCGTCGATGTGGAAAATCAAGGATGGGAATTTTAAGAAAACACTTCCTTTAATCAGAACTCTAACGTATTTAGTTTCTTTGCTCAATATAGCTAACCTACATTTTCAAATTTTGATTTTTTTTGTCATATTTAGCAAAAATAACGAGTTTTAGCATGATAAATCCGGCACATACTCACCTCACTATCTACATTCGTTCCAGTTAATATTTATTTCAATTTTAGAAGTGCTTTAATTACTATGTCGATTAATAGTGTGATTTAGTTCGTGTATCATGTAATCAACCGAATATACGGCTTGAAAACCTACAAAATTTTGATTTTCAATGACATCTACTTTGCATATGGTTTGTAAATAGACGCACGGAAGGTATAACCATAACATTCCTAGGTTGAATGGTCCATGGTTTCTATAGCAGATCAGAGGCGTGCACAGGGGATAATTTTCTCTCCTGTCCTTGCCTGTCCTGTTGGCTACCTTGGTCCTGGCTGGCAGCAGGACAAGACAACAGGACCGCCCTGCCCTGTGCACGCCTCTGGTACACACACACTTTCACTTGTACGAAGACTGGCACTTTGCACCATCAACATGATCCCTCGCACGTTAAATGTAGTACTTGGTACCTTCCATATGATCGTTTGTGCTACTGCTTCAGATAGACAGACACAAGTGAATTACAGTTTCTAGAGCGTATCCTTTCAGCCTAGGGAATTATAATTCTGTTCTGTAGTTAAAATAAAACATTTAATCCAAAGATTCTTTTCACCATTTTGTCAGCATATATTAATATTTTATAATACCGCACTATTTTTTCCCACAAAAGAGTTTCTCAATTAAAGTCGACTTGAATATTGATAGTTATGCCTTTTTTTACAACTTTTATCAGAAAAATGAGATTTACTTGAAATTATTTTACAAGAGGACAAAACTGTTTCTTGTACCTTCAAAGCTAGACTTGATAGATCGGTTCTATCGTTTTCAACATTGACAGAATATATTTATGCCTTATTCAGTCGAGAGTCAAGTGAGTCGAGGTGACGAACGATACTTGCACCTTTTCATTTAAAGAAAAATCACTAAAATAAAAATTTATTGTTAGAAAACATGCAACATTCATTATCTTGATTATTTTACATGAGATATTATAAATCCTAGAAAACGAACAACACCAATCCATTCAAATAGCATTAGTTACTTAGAAAACAAATTTATTTATAAACAATAAGATATTCTGCATAAGCTTGATCATCACGATATGTAACATATATATGATCTCCATCAGTAGTTGAATCAAAACCTGCAGGTGGTATTTTCATGTTTGTATTTCCTAACGTACTATTACCTACTATTACACTGACAACAAACATATACCGTTCACTATTCTGTGTACTTGGCTTAGCATAATTGTGACTGTAAAAAGCATTTGCCGAAAAATAAGCTCCTTGTCCATAGACTGTGCCTAAAAATAAACTTATTTTGTTTTTACAAAGAATTCTTAAAGCAAAATCAAACAAACCATTAACTCCAGCAAATGATCGATTAAAAAATGAATTGATAATAAGATCAATTGATTCTTGTCGACAACCATGGAATAATTTTCGTTCTGTATCTTTTTTTGATGAAAAACTTTTATATGAATTATATTGTGTATACCATTGTTTATTTTGAATACGTTCTATACGTAGTATTGCATCATATTTATTAGACATGGTTTTGTTAAACACGCCACGAATATCTTTATATTCATCTGAATTTTCATCTAATGAAAATCGTGCTACATTTTCTGTTTGTAACTGCCAATGTGGTGGTAAACCACGATCCATATGTCGAATAATTAGACGCTGTTGTTGACTATTGATACATGTTTCAATATTTTGTTTTAAATCAATAATATAGTTTATAGATTTGTCATCAGTGTACTCAAACTAAAAGTATAGTTGTTTTTTTAGTTATCAATTTAATCGCCCAAATTCATTAGCAATATTAGAAATCAAGATATTTGTGGCAATTAGTCAAGAACGGAACAGGCTAACGGGCTGCGATTTTCATTAGTAGACAAAGGAGACATTGAGACAGATATTTATTTAATATCGTATAAAACGAATTGATTTCAAAATCAAGTATTTTTTAGAAAAAATCGAAAAAATGGTGGCAAAATAGTTGCTGTTCGCATGAAATTTTGAAAATAAGTAAAAGAACCCAGTGAAAAATATTCACTGATTTTAATCGGATTTTTATGCAACAAAATCCGATTGATGTCATGACGTGGGTATCTTATTCCACAACTGTCAGACCCACACCCATACCCTCGATTATCGGATTATGACCGTGGCATATTTAAGAATCTGAATGATCTACTGTTTCAAATGAAATCTTGTGGCAATAATACACTTTATAGTCAGTAGAAAACTTTCCATAGGTTGAGCTAAAAGAAGTGCATTCTAAATGAGATATCACCTTTTCATAAAAATATTCCGAACATTGAATTGAAAGAGAATTTTTACTAATCATCAAGACTAATTCAATGGCATTCGTTTCAACTGAAATATGATTTGACAGTCGAAGACGTTCCATTTTCAATGGCATACATGTGCGAAAGAGCTTCCGATGTAATTATTACTCGTACTTGTCACAATAATTCAATAGTTATCAATAGTTATGTTGAATTCATATATAAGGCGAAAATGAAATTTTATTATGACTGATGCTAGGTTTCACATAAACGTACTCTTCATAAAGTCGAATTTGTGTTTATACTGCAGGAAAAGAGAGATGAAGAAAATCACTGCTGTGAAACTTGAGAAATATACACTATATGATATTGCCATTGAGAAAGAAACAATAGACTTCTACAAGGTATTCTATTATTGTAATTTTTTTACTAATCCTATCCACGTTTAAACCCATTCTTGCTTTCATAACCTGCACATGATATTAAAAAGTAATACCATGCATAGCAGATTGTATATTCGATAATAAACTAAATACTTTATCTATCTGTGAGATATCTTACAATAATAAAATAGTTCCCTAAATTGAAAAATTTTAGCAACCATTTTGATTTAACTCATGACTAAATGGATAGTTTTTCAAAGTGCTTAATATCTGGTGAGAGACAAAGTTACGAGAGAATAATTTTTTCTTAGCCAAATAGGATGCCCATCAGATTTAAACATAAGAGAATGATATAGTCTGTTATCTATATCCCAGTAATACTTACAGTTTCTAATTGAGATGTATACGCATCTTCAATAAGCGCATTTAATTCAGGCACATATTTTTCCCAATTTTGATCATCTTTTTCAAATGCCCAAATTATATCTCGAGCAATAGCCATTAAACGAGCTTGTTCACTTTGTTTAGCTTGCTCTCGGTAATATTCATTTTCTACTTCTGCAACTGATTCTTTTGAACCAAATAATTTAACATAACCAATCACAATACTCATATCGGGTACAACTTGTTGATGAAAGCAAAACTTATAAAATGCATTAATAGCAGGTTGTGTCCATTTTTTAAGTACATGTTGTTTATAATGTTCTCGAGCTGAAATTGATGTTTTTACATGATTATTTAAGGCTTTTTTACATTCCTCTTGCTTATCTAGACTGTTAGATATAATAGTAATTGTAAGTGCTAGAATAAATAAACAGTTGAATAGATAACATATTTGAAGTAATTTTATGATATATTCACTTGTAAAACGATATTCCATTTGAATATCGTTTATTTCTACGTTGCCTTTTTGAAGACTTTCGAGTTTTGCCTGAAATATTTCAAAAACGTCATTTTGCGTAGGTAAAATTACAAAATTTATTTGTAATAAAACATTGGCTGATAATAACTGTCGTTGAGCTTCAACTAACATTTCATTAGCGACAATATTTTTGTCGAAATTAAATTTTCCACAGCCAATTGCTGGAAATGCAATCGATGTGTGATGAGCTTTAATAGCATATTGAACAGCTTTACTAACAAAATTTCGAATTGATTGGTAAAATGCTTCTTGACTAGTTTGATTTATATTCCATGTTAAAAATAAAAGTTTTCGACATAGTAACTGCCCTGAATCAAGTTCAAAAGGTCCTGATGATGGTGTCTTTGTAATTGTATCATATTCTCTTTTTACAGAGCCACCAGCCTTTTCAAGTATACCATCACGTAAATATTGTGATGTTGAATTAACAACAACAAGATCGACCTTAATAAATGAATAATAATTCTAGTTCTTTAATAGTTTTTAATTTCTTTACTTTTTGCTTAGCCAAATCACTTGTTAGTATTCTAATGGCTGCTGCTGTTAATTTATTTGAAACATGATCTTGTGCTGCAGCCTTAGGTATTTCGACAATTTTATTTCTAATTTCTTTTTCTATTTCGATTTGACATTTATATTGATGGCCAATATTTTGTAGAGTAGTATATTCCTTATGTGCTATTAATCCAAAAGCTTCTTCTTGTATTTCAAAACTAATTGGTGTACTTAACGAAGCTAATGCCATTATTTCTTCTTCGATTCTATTATGAACATAACTTGGAGCTGTAAATTCTCCATTTTTCAAAGGCTCAATAATTGCTGCATCATTAAAGTTAGTTTCGAGTGCTTTTAACTCATCATAATAGATATTCAATAAAAATTTTATCTATATAAAACAAATATGTATTGCATTTTCGTAAGAAAAACATATCTATCCTTTACCTGCTGTGGTTCTAAACTGAGTTTAAATGTACTTGATGCATATTTTATCTTGATTTTTTCTATGTCTTGTTCAACTCCTCTAACAATGTCAACAAAACCAAACAAACGAATACATCGTTGTTCCAGTGTTATTAAAATATTCTCAGATCGTATATGATCTTCTAATTTAAGAATATCTTGTGCTAAATTACTTTTGTTCGTTATTGTTAAATCAGAGGTAGACGGTAGAAAAATATCAATTAATATAAATTTTTTGATAATTTTATCTAGAGTAGCACTAGTAATACATAAATTTTCTAGTTCATTTGTTTTATTTTTATCGAAATATACTATTATTAGACCAATTGTTTCATAACTGCATAGAATATGAAGATGTTCATTCTCATCACTATATCTTTGGATAATTTGAGTACAGTTTGAATTTCTTACCCAAATTCCTGTATGAAAACAAATTTTTATAAATACATTTCTTTGGTTTATTATATGATTTTCATGAATTAAGATCATCACAGGATGAACCAAAAGTAATCTAACATAGAAGTTTTTCTTTGTATATTGTCAATTAGATCTGATACCTATACCATATATATATATACTAGGTGATATAACTAGAAGATGTAGCATATGACCAGTATCTTGATGTAGTAATTTGTTCAAAGAGCGTATAAATACATGGTGGTCAAAATTATGGCAAGAAGTCTTAGTACCAATGAAACGTTAGTTAAAGCAATAGAACTATATAATGACTTACACAATAATAGGTATACGTGAAAGATTTTGTACAATGACATTTTTGATCGAAATTGCTCAATGTGTTTACCTTCTAAAGTTTTGCAAAGTTTCAATCGTTCAAGTACTGATTGGCAAGCTCGTCGACATAATTCCACTGGCAAGCTTCCCATTTCTATAATAATAGCATCCTGGAGTACTTGAAGAGTTCGAATTTTTGTCGTGTGCAAGCCAAGTATTACATTTAGATATTGATCATATGCTGTATTGTTGAGTTATATCATCTAGTATATATGATATAAATCTGAGATCTAGCTGATTATGTATGAACAAAAACTTTTTTGTTAAATTACTTTTGACTCGCCTTGACATTATTTGAATATAGCACCATATTCGTTCAAGAACCTGTTCTAACGATTTCATACATGTTCCAAGTACACATCAACGAGTTCTATCCAATGGTATTCAAATTGTTGATAAACCAATATAAGATTGTCAAGCATTTTCTGTGGTGCCACCTATCAATGTTAAAATCTTACTTTGAGCTTTCGAACATCTCAGTCCACTATTGATTAGAGCTCGCTGCATTTTCCTTGAAGCATGCATGGAACGCTTGTAACAGGCTCCTAGACAAATACGAGTAAGTTTTACTCGAATATGGTGCTCACTATAATTACATATCACCCCATACATATTATATAAATCATCATTCTGGTTGTTTTCATTGAAACTCTGACTCTATATAATTTTCACAAAAAATATTTTAAAACAATGATCCAATTACCTGCTTGGTCATCGACTAATTTTGTGCCTATTGCTGCCAGAAGAGCTCTTACTGATTCTAATGCTTGCTGATTTTTGTTTTCATTTTTACTTCGAAAGTCAATAATACACACGTCATTTTCCAGGCCCAATTTATCTTTCCTCATAGTAATGGTCGTTTCAACTGAATAAATTTCTTTTATTTCAGCTTTCAACTTATTGCAGAATTTTGGATGATTAAAGAAATCAGCACCAAAAAGACTACTGGAAACTGAAAGTTGACAACTAAACATCATGGATTCAATGCTGAAATAGAAAATTTTCAAACAGTCCTTTCTATTTCTATGTAAATGAATACTAAATTACAACATTTTGTCTTTCGGTGTAGTTGGCTTTATCTAGAAATACACGACCCAATAAATTGATAGCAATGTGAAAGAGATTGTATTTTTCATTTGACTTTACCTTTTTACAACAATCTAAATCATACAGAAGATCGTCCTATATGAAAAATAAAACAGAATTCAAAATATTTTGACACTATTTGAAAATATACCATATCGTCTATTACTGATCCCCGATTGGTTATTGATCGTTCGCGCTCGACTGACATCCTATCTGTATTCTACATGCACAATGTTCAATTATAAATTATCATATCGATTAATAAGGATTTTTTTCTTCATTACTATATAGCTATTTGATCGTGACATTATGCTCATTGATGTTTGAGATCTTTGATTGGCAAATACTTCCGCCTCCTAATAAGACTTAATAATTTGTGATATTTTAAACCGATTTTCAAACTTTTACATTCAGATATTCGTCAAAGTCGCCATCCATTATTTCCCCTTGGCAAAAAAATAAAAAATGAATCATAAATGACGTTTGATTAGTCCGAGAAATTTCGTTTTCTTCAGCGTAAAAAAAGTGTAATCGTACATACTCGCGTAGTGTTCATCGTGTCTTCTCGTTGACATTATTTTCAATAGTTAACTACACAACGACAGTAATTCCTTGTAATGGATCAATGGTCTAAAAATAATTGAAAGCTGTCGTATATACGCGTGTCAGTCAATCTTTTACTCACCGATGCAAACAAACGATGTCTGGTAGTTAATAAGTAGCAGCACGTGTGCATTCGATAAAAATAATCTAAGAGAAAGTAAACACTTCTATTATTATTTTTCTTTCCTTCGCGGTGTTTCTATTTTTTCAACGTTTTTTTGCAACTTTCACCGATGGTGGTGTCCATAGTTAACATTTACATGAAATTAACTTTTTCTCTGGCGCATTCAATACCGTAATATCTCCCTACGTGTAGTAAAACTACATAGAAAGGGTGGATATTTGCAGCCCCGCCCCCAGAGGCCGTTGGAGAGAAATTAATTAACTAATTTCTCTGTAACGGCCTGTGATGGCCTCTAGAGACTCCAAACATCATAATACAGACCGTGACAGAGAAGCTCCACAGGCCATCAAAATCCGTGGTAGACGGATTCCAGAAAAGAAGTTTCATTGTGTTTTACATTTTAATCCCACAGGAATTGCGCTAACAGCCTTTTTATAGTGACACACCCACACCCACACCCCATACCCGCGCCTTTGTCAAGAAAGCAGGTGAATTTCTATCACGGTTTAACTCAATGGATGATAGATATTGTTCAAAAAATGATGAAATTAATTAGATGAAGTGCATGTGGAACATAAATAATTCTGCTAAGACTATTGAATAAAGTAAAGGATATTTGCAAATTGGATTTTCAAGAATTCTCAGATAACCAGAATTAACAATACCAGTCAAAGTTGGTATTGTGATACATTGGCTTGCAGTGAAGCACTCTACAGCATTCTTCCGATGTGTTTATTCTCCTGGAGTACTAGAAGTTTCGATGGCTATCGGAAAGCTCGAAATTAGAGCAGAACGAACAAAAATGTACATTTCAAATTTTCGACCTGTAGGTGAGCATTCTGTATTCAATCGATCTTATCCTCCCAGATGAACAAAAACAATATTCTCTTAATGTTAAAGTGTCACGTCTGTCGCTATATTCCGTGATTTTCCACACTGTTATTTCTACTTTTATTATTTCCTCGAACACACATTCAATTTCTCTATGTGATATTGAGAATATACGCTATACGTTTAGTAAGCGAATGAACGATAGAGTTCTTCGTTCTTTTCCGTTTCTTCCAGAGTGTTGAACACAGGATTAAATCGTAACCAATTGCGTGTTCGTAGCGGTAATTGTTCCAGTATTTCTCGGGCGATGCGTATTTGAACTTCTGGTCGAAATAACCATCGTCGACTATAGCCAAGAACGACCATAGGTCGTGGTTGATCGGTTTGATTGGGTGTTCCTCGATGAATGTGTCGAACATCGCGAATGAGTACATCGCCTTGTTTCATCAGAACTTGCTGCAGTGGTATTTCGCCTGATTCAATGCGATGAAGCGCTTCATCTTTAGCTAACAGATGTGTTGACGGTGCCATTTCCAGTGGCCCATTTTCTGGATTACAATCAACAAGAGGAAAATTAACAGCCAGCTGGTACGGTGGGGTCTCTTGTTCCCATTCGGGAAAAAGCGACTGAGTATCACGATGCAATGTCTGGTATTGGGATCCTTGGCATGGAGTGTCAGTAGCTAATTGACAGAATACTCCATCGGCACCCACAAGTTCGGAAACAATCGCCATGATAATATCATTGTTAATAATTGATACATCAGTCCACGGCGGACGAAACGGTGGAGTGACATAGTACCGATTTGGTCCTCGATTCCCAGTTCCACCTTCAGCTCGCATAGTTTCTGCCAGAAGCGGTTGAAAAACTCGATTGAGTTCATCAATTTTATCAACTGGAAGCAAGTTACGAATTAGAGTTGATCCTGTTTGACGCACTTCGTTGGCTCGCTCAATGATCCATGCACTGTCGACTGCGCGTGCATCCTCAACAGCCATGTCGTTTGAGTTTGTCTTTATCCTCGTTAGAAACAAAAGACAACGAAAAATACCGCATCTATTACCTTATTTATCTATATCACTGATGCTTCATGCAGACCATGCTTGTCGTCAAAATAAATATAGACCACCTGATCATTCATGTAACTTTATGATGGGCGGTAAGACGTAATAAGCGTTATACCTTCATTTTCGTCCTAACTCGTGGCAGAACAGAAAAAGTTGTGATATAGACGAATATAGACGTAATATAATCTACAGAAAGGAAGAAAGTTATTATAATCAGCAACGTAATAAGTGAGTTGTAGATGTGAATCTTCTCATCATCAGCATCCACACCCTCGCTTCAGCAGTATTGGGTTTATGCAGACAATAAAGAAAAATGCACCAGGAACAGAACGAAAGATTTTTTTATTTCGCCCAGTTTATTGTTACACTAGGAAGTGCTTACAAAAAAGAACAACCATTATAGCGAAGGCGTATACGGTTACTTGATTAATAGTTTAAGCGATTTTAAGCATCCATTTAGAGAAGAATATTGTGAATATAAAAAGTCATGTTTAGTATGAAAAATACGATAAGAAAACAAATGAAAAAGATTGCAAAATGCACATGGTTTAAAAGAAAAACACTGAGGGAAGAAGAATTGACAGAAAGAACAGCACGAAAATGACGGTATAAAAACAAAGGAACGAAATAATAAAACTGATGAGAATAAAGATTTATAAGAACTTAAGGCATTGGAGTAACAGATATTGATGCTTTTCATGTATCTGTCGAACACGTTTCATTCGAAAGAAATGATCTAGGTGATAATTTTCATTCTTATGAAAGATATCCCAGTAAAAAAATATCATTATAAAAGAGGGAGCGACCTGAGGGTGTGAGTGGAGCTGTCTACCGTGTGGATAAGACTGACGGATTGAGCAACATGCGCACCCTCAGGTAAGATTTTTATGATTGATAATAATAAAAATAATCTTTCACGGCACCAAATATTAGCGGGTAGAGAGAGAGAGCTTTATGTTCGATTTCTTTTTATTTATTTCAAATCGAAAACACACATCATACCACACTTTAGGTTCACTACGCACATACGCTTACACACACTACTGAGAAGAGAACAATCGATATATACATATTTATATCTATCTATATATATATATATAGCGAGGGTCTGGAAAAAAATAGAAATATAAGAGCAAAATAAAGAATGATCTGAGATAGTTCAGATCAAAGAAAAAAAACATAGCAAGGGTTAGCCGCTAATAGTCATCATCATCACTTTGTTGTTCATTTTCATCAGAGCTTGATTTTGTATTTTCGACCACTGCTCGCGTAATCACTTGGACTTGAGGACGATTTTCGAATGATTGAAAGTTATTGTGACACCTAATCACTTCTCGGATTTGTCGACGATTTGCGAATGATTGAAAGCTATTGTGATGCGCACTATCTAAAAAAATCGGTCTTCTACAGAACCTTACACATTCTGCATTTCTCCACCAAACCGTTTTAAGTTCAGTGGAACGCAAATCGTTCCGTAGTATTCTTTCAGAACTATTTTAAATTCAACAGATTTCATAAGATTTCGAAATTTTGCGACGCAACTCTTTGTAGATTCCGAAAAGTGATTTATGGTTTCGTATAGCGTGTACCAATCTTCTGATAGTTTCGTAAAATAGTAGAGGATTTCGTCATATCCTGACGGAACCACTGATGATTCGCTAAACTGTAGAAAGGTTTGGAATATTTTCTACGAAACAGTTCATAGTTTCGTTGACAATTCAACTCAGAAAGAAAAAAGATGTCATATGGAACCATTTGTGGTTTTAGCGAAGATACCGAACCTATTAAGGGTTCTATGTTGCACCATCTTTTTGTGAAACACGATCTCAAAGGAGTGTTGAAGTATATAGGGTAGAAATTTGGAGCCATCTTCGCCCCCCCCACCNCCCCCACAGACCGGGACAGAGAAATTAATTAATTAATTTCTCTGTCCCGGTCTGTGATGGTTTGTAAATTCTGTCACGGTCTGTGATGGCCTCTACCGACTCCATAGATCAAAATACAGATCGTGACCGAAAGGCTGCATATATGATTACAGACAGTGGCAGAAAAGCTACAAAGACTTACAGACCGTGGTAGACGGGTTCCATGCCACAGGGATTGCGCTAACAGCTTTTTTAATGCTGAACCATTTTTTCAAAGATGGTTCTGGCTTGAACCAAGGTGGGATATTTTCTGGACATGATTTAATTAATGTAAATATGAAATGGCATTACTTATTCAATATAATCATGATACAATATGCGAGAAGCATCACTTAACATTATAATTCGCCGGCTAATCATACATTTAAGTGGGAATGTAATAATATCAATACGGTATTCGTGTATTGGTTAATGGTATTCCCACTCCAGAAAAGATTACAGAAAACGAAAATCCCTTGGCCAGATACGAATAAAAATTCAGACGTTAGAAAAATGACTCCCTTTAAGTAATTCAATATGGGAAGTTCGAATTTGAGCTTCATGTTTCGAAAAATCCTGTTGGTCAGTCGAAAACCAATAAAAATCAAGTTCTTCGAAAAATGGAGCTCGAATTACCTAAAGCCGGCGTTATTTCAAAAATCTCAATTGATGTTAGCACATCATTGCCAAATAAAATAAATTACTTTTATACACAGGTCATTTAGTTCGATACCGACTTCTATAGGATCTTATTGGATGCTAGCAACCGAAAGTCTTTTAGCGGATTGCTGGGTCGAGACATACGAATCCGTCATAATTTTTTCTACCCTAGCATCCATTCAGCGGAAACTAGGCCCATCAAAAATTCAACGGGTGTAAAGTTAGACTTTATATTTCAGCTCCGTTCTCAATTCTGATGAAAGTTTGAAATAGGTTATCGAGGTCGAGGAATCGAATCCGTCGTCATTTTTTGTTTGATTCGAGTTCCCATCAATTCAATAATAAGTGCCAAGTTATAAAATGCGGTTGTTTTTTTATCTTCTTGTACACATCACAATTATCAATAGAAAGGTAATGTCAACCTGATAAAATGAATTAATGATTTTGTATATTTAGGTATATGTGAATAATTGATTTAGTGGTAAGTTCAAGCTTACAATATAAGCCACTCTTCCGTTTTTTTTTGTTTAGGATCGTCTCAACAACAAGTAACTGCGATGCCCTTTTTGTGCGAATAAAGGAGAAAATGCTGGCTCTTATTCAACTTACAACTTTGGGTGAATATAACACATTGAATTAGCAGTTTAGGATAAAAATAGTGGCCAAGGCTAGAATAACGGTTAAGGATAGAAATAAGCGATTAAATATAAAATCAACGGTTGTATATAGATTTAGGCGCAAGTACTAGACTAATTGAGTGTGGTGAACTACATTATAGTACTATAGAACCATTTTTGGAAGAATTAGGAAAATGTTCCAGCTAGAACCAGGTTTTGCTTGAACCTTAAATGGTTCTGAAAATGGTACCAAAGCCTAGAACCTTAAAAGGTTCAGCATGGCACTTTTTTCCTTTCTGAGTACATCGCCGGAAAATATACGAAAACCGACATCGTAACTGTAAATTAGTAAGACTGGTTGTTTTACCTCCCAGAATTTGAGTGCTCAACTTCAATCATGCTGGTTGACCGTCAGCCGTTTTTCATGATTGGTCTTAAATGGTTCCTTTTAGAACAGTCAGAACACCGGGTAGTCGTTCATCAGCACCCCTTTAGTGTGCCACTCGCGAGTAGCCGATACCACACTTCGGTGCATTTCATCGAAAAAAACAAAGGCCTTCAAAACAAAACTTTCGGTTTCGGTACATGCCTATACAACACGCGTGCTAGAGCGATCTGCTCTTATTTTTATAGATTTTGGGCAAAAAACGCTGGAGTGAACGTTTTTATTATACCAACTGTTTCTACTGTGAATCAGTAGATTTCAGGTTACATATTGGAAGGCTGTCTCTGGAGCGAATTTTGTTTTACTTCGGTAAAAGAAATCTTACCTGAATCAGCGGCATTAATATAGATATTTCGTCGTCTCAATGAACTATTCTGGTACGGTATCTGCTGACCGCTTGATTCCTGCTCTACCCCGTCGCTCACATCTCTGAGTAACATTTGAATATCTTCGTTAGGCGTGGTGATGTGTTGAAGCAAATGTTTGGTGAAGAGTCCATTTTTTCCCGAGCCATCTGAAGCCGTTTGTCCAGGTGCACAAGCAAAAGCAACCAGTGAGCCAGACGAAGCATACATGGCCTATAAAATTACTTCACTATATTCTAGTTGTGAACGTATATTTCGCTTACTCACCGTTAGTCCTCTATTTTGTTCACCACGACTAAGCTGTGGATGTCTAAGGTGATAATTTCTACAGCAATCCAATAAAAATATTGCCACGTACGGATTTCTCTTCGTTATTTGTTCTAATACATGTTGAGCGTTAATTGCACGACGCTTAATGTTTGGTCCCGACAGATTTGTATTATCGGAAGGAATGAGAAAGTTTTGATCCTATGGAAACGTACCCAAACAGCTGGATGTATGTTTTATTTTAGATCTAAGTTGACTTACTTCCCATTGGCAACCGTGTCCGGCAAAATAAAACAAAGCCATATCTGTTCCTTGTATCGACTGTACGAAACTAGATATGTTAGCGTCCATTTCATCTGACTTCAAATTGATCCCTTTCATTACCATAAAGCCAATCTTTTCCAGCGCATTAGCCATGTCGTTGGCGTCATTCCGGGGATTGCTTAGGTTGGATCCATCCTCGTATTGGCTTACTCCGATGACCAAAGCTCGCTTTCGTTGATTAACAAGTTGATAGTCACTAGCAGCAGGCGTAGAATACGATGAGCACATTTTGTTAAGAACTTGTTCTTCTCTGTTATTAAAAATCAATAAAATATATCTAAAAAACACTGTTTGAATTTCACCAAAAAGTAGGAAATTTTGTTATTGCGATCCAAGATCAATCCCGCCCGGCCGTAAACAATCATAGTATATGATGACTGTAAGCGAAGTTCGTAAATAGCCGTTATCGACAGCCATGTGCTACTCTGTAATATGGTAGCAAATCTATGAGTATAATCTATGGCAACGCTAGGAAAGTAATCAACGAAACTGAGTCTTTCCCTCTAAAATTTGCTCCTACACTTGGATTAACTCTGTTTCCACATATGTTATATGCAGAATTTGATTCTGCATATAACAGTGACGCTTGTAGCGGGGTCACAGAGCAACCTATCCGGCTCTTACGCTGGTGCAAACTAAAACTGCAGATTACCAACAAGCCCTGCTGGCCCCTGCGCGTGTACTTGCGCTCAGTCTCCCGTCGCATTCATGATGTCAAGATTTATATTTAGAGCTCAATGATGTAAGGGGGAAAAGCTGCTCCTGGATCCTTGGATTTTGACGGCTTCTCATGGATCCTGGTGGATTCTATGGATTTTGGTGGAATCTATCTTGAGGCGTGGATGTGGGTGTTGCTCACTCCGTCATAGTCTTATCCACACTTACACAATACCCACACGGTAGACAGCTCCACACACATCCTGCTAAATAGAGATTTTGTATTCTTTTTTTTCAGTTTCTCATCCCTATTTGAATAGAAAACGCAAATTATTTCAAAATCAAATGCAAAGTGTAATAGAACGTGAAATTCTCTATCATTGTACACACTAGAAATTGAATAGTATCAAATTAAAAATATCAACTGACTCTAGTCGGACCTCCTTGCTCATGCGCATCAGTTTCTTGAAGTTGTGAAGGAAGAAAATCATGTTCTATGGACAGATCTTAAAGTCGCCACGGACTAAAAACAAGAAAACAAAAGTTCACTTAGGGAAGGCTAATGGTTTGGTAGAGGGGTGCCAAAGGCATATAGAGTTTTCAGAAAAACGTGATCAATATGATAGAATATGTCAATATGCTCAATATTTTTAACCATGCAATCATTCTCTGAAGTAAAACATATCGGTTTCCTCTCAAAACATATCGAGTTCTTCACAAAATATGAAAACATAAGCGATGGCTAGAGTATGACAGCCTGAAATAGATACATGAGAAGCATGGTAAAAAAAACTCCTATATAACCAGCGCGCGCAGTATTGAGAAACATTTGTCTTGAAATCACTATTGTTTATATAAAAAAAGCTTAATGTTACTTTTTGTGTTTTAAGGCCAGTAAAAAATAGCACGATATTCGAGTATCTCCAGCCCCAATTCGCTCTTTGACCTATGTTGATTCTATATTAGGTTTGATTCAATAGAGAATTTCTACCTATAGCAAATGGGAATAAATGCAAGAAATACTCGCTGTTCCCCATTCGACTCATAATGCATTGAAACTATTATCAGCCCGAATTCGCTTTGAGATCTGTGCTCGATCTGAACCTTCTTTTATTCAATGTAGACTTTTATTTTCAACCACACGGTATCATTTTAGATGGGACCATCAGACAAAAATTATGAGCTGGGTGGGCAGCTGGGTGTGGATATATATGGGTGTGAATTTGATGAGATATGCGGTTACAATAGATTATCTGCAATACTTTCCGACTTATTTCAAAATTTGGTGACATTGCTTTGTCATTCCCAACATGAAACATTCTCACCCACGCTTACACCCAGATGTATATCCACATCCAGGTATCCACCCTACTCATTATTATTTAGCCGATGACCTCATATAAAATGATACTGTATAGTAGAAATAAAATTCTAAATCGAATAAAGAGAGTTTCAGATCCAACACAGGCCTCAAAGCGAATTCGGACAGAAAATATATTTTATGTATTATGAGTTCAATGGGGAAAAGTGAGTATTTCTCGAATAAACCCTATTTTCTATCTGATGACCTCCCCTTCCTCGAATTTATTGCGACTCGCTAGTCGAAGAAATTATCTATCGAAAACAACTTTGTAGACCCAACACATATCAGAGAGCAAATCGAGACTGGAATTACTCGAATATTGTACTCACTTATCGAACGTTGTTTGAACTTGCCAATTGATGTGGATGTCTGATAATATATATTTTAGTTTTGATCGATGTTGAAGAAACTGTTGATTTAAGATTAATAGGTTATTTGAGCTCAAATATTTGAATAAGTCAACTATTTTACCTAAGATAATTTAACATGTGGGTTTTGTAATTCTAACTTTGTATCATTCACTTCATAGGGAAACATCTCGATTAACATTTGTTTTTCTTTTCACGATGAAGTCTGTTTTATTCTAGAGATTCTGTTGGTAACTGTTTCTTTGAATCTACATAATTATGCTTGTTGACGAGCACCTGATGTATGCTTTCCGTGAATATTGCCTATATGATGAAATAGGTTCTTGTAGTTCTTATATGTCTCAAATTACGTAAAAATCTTATCATCAGCCGAACCCTTTGCGTTATCTTTCTTCTGGCTTTGCCTATTTGTTTCCGGACGTTATATATTTAGTTGATTTAAAGAATAGTATCGTGCCTTATTTCGTACAAATTCGTGTTATTCACAGATAAAACGAAGGATCATATGACATTTCTGAATGCAATTTAATTCTTCATCGATTAACATGTTTTATTGATATTGAAAAAGCCTTTCTCAAAATATATAAGATTTCCGAGTCTTCATTTTCCTTCGAAAGACATAGTAAAATTCAAGTTTTATTATCGTTTATTTTCACTATCTATGAATTTTTCAGGGTGCTTCCGTACATATACATTGGGTATATGATGGAGAGATAGTGATCATTGCTCACATATAGATCACAATGAGTCTTTCTACATAGTTAAGAAGAGAAAAAGAAAACTATCATCATATAATCGTGTTGCACAATTTTATCTCATCCAGCAACATAAATAAGTTTCATACAGTGATCGTTTTTGCACAATGCATCGCATGGAAATGTATTCAGTAATAGGATTTCAAAAATCAACAGGTTAAGAATTGAACCCTTTTCTGCAGCCGATTTCAATGAAATCGAAATTGACAAGAGTCGTGGCAGTAGCCATCCAAATAAATTGCTCATATGATTAGATCAAGTTGAACAGGATAAACAGTTCTCGAAACAGCAGCATTTTCTCCGTTTAAAAAAACTAATCATTGATAAAAATGTTTACTTATTTCTTGCGGCTTTTGATATTTTTACAAATTTCAACTTCTACCTTTCTCATATATCACAGTTCCGTTTCTACTGTGTACGATGATAGAGAATTTCACGCTCTATTACGCTTTGGATTTGATTTTGAAATAATTTGTGTTTTCTATTCAAATAGGGATGAAAATTTAAAAAAAAGAATACAAAATCTCTATTTAGCAGAATTCGAGAAGAAAAGCATCTTTATTGTGCAAGAAGTTTTCTTAACAAAAAGATGTAACACAAGATGTTCGTATATGGAATTGTAGAGAATTTTGAGTACTATTAAACTATGAAGTTAGTTTCCCGAAAAAGCTAGTTGTTAGTGATGAAATAATAAGAATATCGGATAGGTCAATTTTTTACAGATGGAAATTTTTGATGAAAATGTTAAGACTTTTCTAAGCCAAAATTTTATCTGCCAAACTTTTGAGAACATCATTCGATACATTTTGATGTGCTCTTTCAAATGAGACTATTTTCAGTGCACACGATCTCACTGATCTGACTAAGTTGCCCAAAATACGTGGGCATGCTTTTGGTAAAATGAAATATGGTGCGAATCAAAAATTATTCCTGGATATAGTACTTTTAAAAGTCACAAAAGATAGCCCGTAGTTGATAGTATCTTAGGTGAAAAATCTCAGTGATATCTCTTATAACTTGGGAGAAAATGAAAATGTACTGAAAAATACTACAATAAAAAAAATGTCTGATTTTGATCGAGTACCCATACTTTCAAGTCATATATCTCGAGAACGACTCATCCAGTTAAGCTAAAATTCTAGGCTTATGTCTAGCTCTAATGTAGGTATCTACTGCAAAAATAGCAGTCAAATCGGTGAGATCTATTGAGCAAGTTTTCGTAGAAAACGGTCGTGGCTTACATGCAGTGTCTCTTAGATAACTGTGTTGGAAGGATGGTATTGTCATTGTGAGGTTTCCGATAAGAATCGAAGGTGATTCTCTTATAGGTTTTGTTGTATGTACGATTTCTAATAATTTCTTTGTATTTTTCACGACTCTCGTGTGTCTTCACATAAATCCCTTGTTTAGGGATTGCCATCGGTTTCTAGTTTTTACCTTAGAGGTTTGGGTGTTAGATCGATGAGATGCAATCCCTACCGGAGGAATTGAGTGATTATTTAGGTATTTTGTGTAATATGTTGCGGAGAAGGTACTGTATGGTGTGCTGTTTGTTAGGGAGATGTTTCGGGGTTGAGAGGGATTGATTTAGTGTCTGTGGGACAATCCCCAATTTCTCGAGTGCCTTTCTGTTTATTGCTGGTGTTCGGAGGAATCGGAAGAATTTCCATTCCTCAGTCCTTGGATACCTCTCAACATTTTGGAAAAAAAATGTAAACAGAGCGAGTTAAATTCAGTTAGAACTATGACGATGAAGAGAAAGAAAAAGCATTACAGTATACAAAAATACTATGCACTCAACGTAGATAGCGACGAAATCATAATTGTGTATTTTTCACGAATCTGCAACGTAAAGAACCATCTATAAGGCTACCAAAACACGTACAAACGCTTGTATGGTTATCGATTTTAAATCGAAAAGAAAGAAGAAAAAAATATGTACAAAGAGCTCTTGAATGAGGGTGTGGGTGTGAATATCGATGAATGCATGATATACCATCTACACCTACTCACACCCTTCAAACTTGCATGAGAGTCTTGTCAGATGACTTAATATTTGTTAAGTCGATTGAAGACAAATCTTCAAAGGAAACTGTGAATTAAATCAAGAGTGTGGGTGTGGATTTTTCTTCTTTTCATTCATAACCACATACCCCCAGTCACACCAACACTCTATCTTTCTAGAATATTGAGATCGAAATTTAGGGGGTGGCAGATTTACTATTTTATCCAGCAGGTTCATTTTTGCAAGAATTTCGCAGAAATAGATTTTATACTCTCAGCCCATAACCTGGCTGCAAAACAATACTATGGCTGAATTGTTTAATTTGTTACATGTTGTCCAATTTGTGCATCTCAATTACAGAAAAAAACAGCAGGGGTTCCAATTGCGGGGGCACAGTAGCCACGCGACCCTAATCATGGACTACGTTACGTTATCCATCTTGTCATCACTGGAGAACAATTAGATGAATATAATTAGATTGTTTTATGTATCTTTCTTCCCTACGAAATGTTGAACAGGTGTAAAAAAAAAGATTGAAAAAAAGGAAAATACAATATTCAAGCTAAGTCAATCTAACTTCTAAAAAGTGTTCGATAAAGTGCAATGAAGCAAAGAAAAAGACTAGATAGAAAGTGATTAGCTACAAATAAAAACATTATAGAGTTAACATGTATAATCCATATGAATTTGGTTGTTTAACGTGGAAGAACGGAACCACCGCGGACAACTGAACTTTGTCGAGATGTTATTGTTGACCCACGAACTTCACGCTAGAAAATAAAATATAACAAATTAAATTTTTGTTTACATACAAATATCAACTTACAACTTCTGAGTTGCGAGCAACACTAACAGATGATCGACTTTGGCTACGTAATTTTCCAAGTTGATTTTCAGCTAATTCAGCACGTGCAGCTGTGTCTTCTGCAAAACAAAATCAATGTTCAAATGCTATGTATTTATTGATGAACTCACCAACTTCTGATTGAATTTTACGGAACTTAGCCAAATTCACTGCAGCGATTTCCTCTGAAAACAATAATTTTTCAATATAGACAATAATTAATCATCATATAAACTTCTATTACATACCAGCTTCCTCAACTTGACGTTTGTATATTGTAACTTTCGATTGCAATGTTTCATTTAATTCTTGTAAACGTATTTGATTCTTATGACCGTCTTCAACTTGTTGTGAAAGTTCTTTCAAACGTCTATCATTTTTACGTAATTCTTTAAGTGTTTCTTGGTGACGACTTTGTTCTAATTCATTTTCACCTTCCAATTCACGAATCTAAATACATCGATGAGAGTATTATTTTCATTTGAAAAATGACATAAATTGATTTCTCTCCGTTTCTTTTCTTACGTGTTGTTCAAGTTTAGAAATAAGACGTTTTCCGTCTTTCACTGAACTATTTCCAGCATCATCAAAACGTGATTGAACTTCTTTAACTTGTTGTTCAAGGGCTTTACGTGCTCGTTCAATTTGTGCACTGCGCTCTTGTTCTTCGCGTAATTGTTCGACAGCGCGTGAGGCATCAGCAGTGGCTTTCTTCGAACGTTCTTCACTATTTTTAAGTTCACTGACAGCTTCATCTAAGTCAGCTTGCATAGCAGTAACGGTTGATTCAAGTTGTCGTCGTTGTGAAGCTAAATTAGCATTTTGTGAGCTTACTTCACTGATACGATCGGCTGCATCGTGTAATTCAGTTTCAGCGGCTCCACGGGCACGTTCAGCTTGTTCTAAAGCTGCACGTAATTCTTCAATTTCACTAGTTATAGTAGCAGCACGACGTTCAATTGCAAGAGCTGCTTCACGAGCTTCATCGCGTTGTCGTTGTTCGGAATCGACTTGTGTTTGTAATTCAGCAACATTTTGTTGAACTCGTTTCAATGTTTTTTGTAAATCAGCATTTGAACGGTTAGCATTATCAAGTGCAAGTTCAATTTGACCCATATCCGACTCAAGTTTCTTTTTCTACGTACAAAAATCAAACAATATATTTCTGTTTAACTGTTCAAATTCCGTACCTGTTTAAGTAAATCAATTTTTGATCGTGCCTCAGCTTCAACACTGGCTTGCATTGATTCAAGTGCACGTTGATGATTACGTTTTGTACTTTCGATTTCTTCGTTTTTATCATGAAGACGTTTCTCGATTTCTTGTCGTACAGTGCTTAATTCTAATTGAACACGAAGTACTTTAGCTTCTTCTTGTTGAAATGCTAATTCAGCCTTTTCTAATTCATTTTGTAATTCTTCTTTCTCTTGTTCGGCACGTTTGCGGGCTTTGTCAGCTTCATTGGCTGATTTACCGCCGTCGCTTAATTGAGCAGCGAGATCCTAACGGTGAGAAAAGCGAAAGCAAAATAATTTTTCTTTTCAGCTATTGAAACAAACTTTAATTTCATCAGCCAAATTTCTGTTTTCTTTACGAAGTCCATCGATTTGGTCTTGCGATTCTTCATATTGAGATTTAATTTTGAATAATTCTGTTGAAAAGTTTCGTGCTTCTTTTTGTGATGTTTCAAGTTCACCAGTGATATCTTCACATTTCTGTTTCCATTCATTAATTAATTTGTCGAATTGTTTCTGTTTCTTGTCCATAGCCGATGCATCTGAATAAAGAAGAAGTACATTTATATTCTACTTATGTAAATCGATTTACTTGAATTGGCACGTTCAACATCAACCATAAGTTCTTCAACTTCACTTTGAAGACGAGCTTTAGCTTTTTCCAAAGCATTGCATTTATTCAAAGCAGCTTCAACTTGTTCTTCTGCTTCGGTTAATTTAGCAGCTAATTTTCGTTTAGCTTCTTCAAGTTCAGCACTACGACCGACACCTTATATGATCATAGAATTTTGTTTTTTTCATAGAATAGAATAAATGTTTAAATCATTTCAAACTAACCATCAGAATCAAAACGCGATCGCCATTGTTGGACTTCAGCAGTAAGTTTACTAACAGTCTTTTGAAGTTCACTCTTAGCTTGTTGTTCTTCTTCGAGTTGTTCTCGGGCTTGCTCAAGATCAGCAGTCAAATTACGAATCTGTGAATCTAAATAAATATACACATGAAACTATTATTGATTAAATTCTCCTCACTATTGTATGAAATCTCCCGTAATGGTACTTACTGATTGTTCCTTTGCTACGTGATTCATCTTCAAGTGCTCGTTTAGCTTCATCAAGTTGTTGTTGTAATGTTGTTTTCGATTTAGTGATAGCTGCAACTTGAGTTTCAAGATCTTCAACTTGTCTAGTCAAGGTTGAATTTTCAGCAGTTAATTTTGTTTTACTACTGCCTAAGTCAACTACTTGTCTAGCATTATCATCAAGTTTAACTTGAATTTCACTTAATTGTTGTTCAAGTTGTTTTGAAAGTTTCTCAGCAGCTGCTTTGCCTTTTTGTGAATGTTCAAGTTGTGAACGTAAATCATCTGCACCAGATTTAGCTGTTTGTTTTTCTTTTTCTAATTTGTTCTTCAATTTTTGTAATTGATCAATTTGCTCACCCATTTCTTTAGGGAAGAAAAGAGAAAAAATTAAAAAAAACAAGAACAAGACAAAAAAAAATCATTTTACCAGTAACAGCATCTTGATGTTTCTTTTTGATTTGTGTAGCTGTAGCTTCATGCTGAAGATTAGCTTCTTCTAAATCTCGACGAAGTTTTTGTAATTCAGCTTCACGTTTCTTATTCATTTCGACTTGTGATGCTGTTGCACCGCCAGCTTCTTCCAGTCGATTACCCATTTCATCGATTTCTCGGGCTAAGTCAGCTCGTAATTTTTCTACTTTATTCTTAGCTTGTCGTTCGCCTTCAAGTTCTTCTTCCAATCCTTCAATACGTGCTTGTAATTCTTTGACTTTCTTTCCAAGACCTGTTGCTTGTCCTTGTTCATCTTCGAGACGTCCGCCCATCTGTTGAATGTCTTGATCTTTACGTTTAAGAGTTTCTTGTAGCTCACGTTTCGATTTATCTAATTCTTCTAGATTGCTTTGTAAGAGTTTCAAATCGGCTTCAACTTTTCGTTTCGATTTATCTAAATCAGCACGAGATTTCTTCTCACGTTCCAAATTACTTTCTAATTCATCAACAGTTTGTTCAAATTTAGCTTTTAATTTATTCAAATGATTAACTTTATCTTCTTCCGCTTGTAATTGTTCAGTTGTTTTAGCATTTTGTTCTTCGAGACGCTTACGTTCACGTGTTAATTTGGCGATGTTTTCATCTTGATGAGCAACTTCATCCTGTAATGTATGAATTTGACTATCACGTGATTTAACTTCATTTTCAGTTTTCTGCATTGCCACACGCATATCATCGACATCTTTCTTCATGCCATCGACTTCCTGTTCAAGTTTCTTCTTCTTACTGCTTAATTGTTGTGCACTTTCTGATTCTTGATTGAAACGTTCTTCAAATTCTTTGATTTGCTGTTCAAGATCAGCTTTTTGTGTGACTAGAAAAACAAAAGATAGAATTTTATTTCGAAACTAGGGCCGTTTAATTTGATCGTACATTTCGGAGTTTATTACGATCGGATAGCTCAAGGTAAAATCTCAAAAGATATCTGTTTCTGGAAAAAAAAGTGAATCTGAACTGCATCCCATCCGGCAAACTCGATAACAGATAATGCCTAAACGTTAAAGTCGATGTGCCTCTGCAGACTTAATGTTTTAGGGAAAATAAAAACCTTATTTTTACCTTTTTTCAACAAAAGATGATCGATAACAATGGAATACGAGGCACTGATGTTGAATATAAATGTGTTTGGAAAGAGAAATTCTATGCTATTCGTATATAGCTGAAGTGTACTTACAACAGTTACTAAACTGTTAAAATAGCTGCTTTGAAAAATAAATTCATTGAAATAGATATAATTCGAATGGTAATCCTTCTACAAATATATATTGTTAGGAGTCTTATATTACACAGCAACGATAAACATAATAGAATAACGTATCATGATAATGTATTTATATTGCTACGAAGAAAAATCATGAAATATCAGGCGAAAATCAAGCCGACTAAGACAAGTAGTATCGTTTGTATGGCCTGGGTAGTTTTCTGTTTACTTGTATTTACTCGATAGTATGATGATACAGAAAAATGGAAATTCTAGCATAGTGTTTCATCTATAAACTCAATGTGTTCTAATATTTTCAAGTTAAATTCATTAGAATTTGTACTGAAACAAACTTACTTAAAGACGTAAAACGTTCTTCTACTTGTGATGAACTAGCTCGTTCCGATTCCAATTGTGCAAGTAAATCATTCTTCTCTTAAAATGAATTAAACACAAACAAAAATAATTGAACAAAAAAACATTATAATAGTTCCTTTTTACCTCGAGCTAATTTCATATTTTGATCTTCAACTTCTTTTCGTAATTTTTCTTCTTTCTCTAAGTTTTCCTTGGCTGCTTTAAAATCTTCTTCGATTTTCTTCATTTCTTCTTCTTGTCTAGCAACCGATAATAATGGTTTAACTTTAGTATATAATTTCCACCATGGCCAATTGCGCAATGATAAATATTTACGACAATTGCGTTGTAATACAGTTAAAGCTACACGTCGTTCTAACATTTTCTTATATTCTTTCTTCATAATATAACCACGGGCTTGTGCTTGTAAAGCGGCAATAATTTTCGATAGAGCAGCATCACGCATATCTTCTAATTGACCCAATGTTCCTGCTCTGAAGAAAACTTTTGTTGAACCGCAACGATATAAATCTTCATTTAATTTGCAATCTTTCAGAATATCTTCAGTTGCTTTTTTGGCATCAACGAAACCTTTCGGTATAGCATTGGGAGCCAAAATTGAGTAACGTTGTTTGAATTCCGAATAGATCATTCGATTTGGGAAACCTTTACGGCAAATACGAATACCTTCGAGTACACCGTTACATGTCAATTGATGCATAACCAAATGTGCATCGAGTACACCACCGGTCTTGATTTCATTTGGAATAATACAACGAACAAAGTGAGGATGTGTTTGTTTCAAGTTGGTCATTAATTTATTGAGTTGTTCCTAAAACAAGAATAAAACTTCCTACCATACAGACGTTTTGCATTAGAGAAACTTACACGATGTGTCGCTGAAATAGTTTGCATACTACCACCACCTTTCTTTTTGCCGCCACCGCCTTTGCCACCTTCTTCTTCCATAACATCAGCAAAGAGATGAGTTAGAAGAGAATTCTTCGATTTAGCGAAGAGTGTAGCACTAAATATTTATCTTTCTATTATCAATTCAATTTTAATGGAATCAACCTACACAGTGGTGTTAATAGGATCTTTATTCTTTTCGAGCCATGATGTTGCTGTATATGATACAGTACCAGCATAATGATGAATATCAAAGTGAGCTTCGGCTTTGCCTTTGGCAGGCTTAGGTTTACCGAATTGAGCATGTTTACCCAAATGGTTACTGTAAAGTTTTTCAACAAATGTCTTATCAGTAGCTTTTGGTACGATACATTCTTCTTCAAGAATGGATAAAATACCCATGGGCTATATAGTAATGAGAAATATCGTGCGACAAACAGAAAGAATCAAAATATATGTGAATATAAACCTTTTCGATAAGTTGAATACAAGCTTCTAAATCCATACCGAAATCAATGAATACCCAGTTGATGCCTTCTTTTTTATATTCTTCTTGTTCTAATACGAACATATGATGATTGAAGAATTGTTGAAGACGTTCATTGGTATAGTTAATACATAATTGTTCAAAGCCATTGAACTATATTAAAAAAATTATATTAGAATGGCAATCTTGTTTTTTTCTTTTTTCGGAAAGTCATTTCACCTCGAAAATTTCGAAACCAGCAATATCGAGTACACCAATAAAATATTGTCGTTTAGCTTTGACATCAAGCGTTGTGTTAACACGCTCGACTAACCAAGAAAAGATGCGGAAATAGATCTATACAAAAAAAAGAAGAAGAAGATTTTCAATATTTTATTCATTTAATTATTATCCTATACCGATTTAGAAAGAGCACCAATTGAGTTAACGACTTGATCTTTATTTTGACCTTTGTTAACATATTCATTACCGACCTAAGTTTTTTTATTATAAATTATTGATGGTTACCGATTGTAGAAAATAAATCTAACCTTAATACGAGGTTTAAGTAAACCTTTGATAAGATCAGCTGCTTCAACACCAAGTAAATGAGCGACTTTTTCACATTCTTCTGTGCCATCAGTTTCAGCTTGTTCCTCTCGAGGACGCTGTTTCCATTGAGAATTACCAAAATGCATAATAGCAGCAGTACATTTAAATAGATTAACTTTTTCATCCTAGAAAATATCAAATAATAATCGAAGTGTAATCTATACACGTATATTTATATATATATAGTAAATATGAACCTGCGAAAAGCCAAGAATATCAAAAGCTTCATCAGTGAGTCTCATCTCTTCGACATCGTCGATACCATCGATGGTAAGCATACCTTGAGCAACATAGAAGTATTTTGATGGATCAGCTTCAAGTAAGCAGACCTCTGAAGAACGAAAAAAAGTTTGTAAAATCATAAATTTGACAATTATGTACCGTGATATTTAGGAAATGCTGTTGAGCAAATTTGATAGAAAATATGGTAGTTACGCTCAGCTAAATAAACAATTATTATTTAATATCTTTAGAAAATATTAATGTTACCAGGTTGCTAAAATAGAAAAGAAAACAAAAGTAAACATCATTCGTTCAAAAAAATGAAAAACAAATTTTTTTCAGCGCAACTTTGTCAGAAATCGATTTATTGAACGATTATATTCACTTCACATTTTGTCGAATAAATCATTTCCTGATACTATTACATACGTATGTGCACCGCAAAATATCTTACTTGAAAGATGACACGAGATTTTTCCAATAGATATACTTCAATATCAGCACCAGCGATTTTACCAGTTGGACCAAAGTGAATACGAATGAATTTGCCCTTAAAAATAAATCTTAATGATTATTGAATAATTGTGATTTGTTCAATAACGTACAACCAATCATATATTTTCTATCGGTATACTATTTCAAAATCATGTGCTTGTAGAATAAACGTGTGACATGTATTGGAAAAAGGAGTAAGTGAAAAATGAAACTGCATTGAAGGTAAGTTATAGAACACATAAATTCTATCAGTGAATCATAACTTACGAATCGAGACGAGTTATTATTACGAGTTGTTTTTGCGTTACCATAGGCTTCCAAAACAGGGTCTGAATAAGAATATCAATAGAATTATCTAGTTATCAATAGAAAAAAGTCAAGCGATTTGTTTTACTCACTAGCTGACACAATTTGATCTTCAAGTGTCATGCTTTTCTATTTATTTAACAAAGAAAGAAAAACATCGGAAGATTACTTTCTGTTTGTTATTAGTGAAATACCTTTCCATCCTCTTCTTTCTTAACTCCGACCGCAGCGACCAAGGCAAAATATTGAATAACTTTTTTCGTATTTTCTGTTTTACCAGCACCTGATTCACCGGTGATCAGCATGGATTGATTTTCACGATCTAAATTTGAAGAAATTTATTTTCAATTATCATCATCTTATTGTAGCAAGTATTTCGTAGAGTCTGCACTGAAATTTTGCTTTATTCACCCTCAATTTTCATATTAGTCGTAATCAAAATTTAAATATTTGTGAGACATAAATAAATAGATTTAGTTTTTTATTTTATTTCTAATGCTCATGAAATTTAATCAGAAGCAAAATCCATCGAATGGATTGAACATATTGATGATGCACATTCCCCCGCTGAAGAAAAAAATTGATCGAGTTCAAATAGTTTCTGTTATTTCATTTATAACAACATCAATGATAAAAGTATGTTTTTTTTCCGAGCAAGGATATTCAAACATGCATATTATGTCGATAGAAATTATTCATACAACTTAGACAAACGATTATATCTCTGTCGTTTTCCTTAATATAAACAAATAAGACTGTTTGTTATTGTAATAAGCGTTTCAGTAAATTTTCTTTGGATGATTGAAGTCTTCTACAATAACATTCTATATCTGTTTTATTCATACGCTCGTTTGTCTTATTGTATATTAATTAATACGCATAGAATAGAGTCGATAGATTACAATTATATGGTAAATGTCTCCATATTGGGTTTTGCCATTTAGATATTTAGTTCGAGCATTAACGTCTTTTTATTCTCATTATTATAAGCAGATACATAAATGCTTCATAGCTCACAGATGTCTATTAGAAATCATCGTGACCAAAGAAAACAAATCTTAATCAATAATAGCTTTTATGAGGAATATCGCAAAGAAAAAAACTTCTAGTTGATATTTTTTGCCCTGAGTATTCCGCACTTCGAAATAACATGTAAAAGTCAATGTATGATATTCAGTAGAATAGAGCTAAATGCTTTAAAATAATGAATATTTTGATTTTTCATACACGCTCACAAAATAGAGTCGATTAAATTAAGATGCTTACCTCGGAGCATGTTTGCATAAGCATTATCCGAAATAGCATATAAATGTGGTGCAACTTCAGTTTTCTTTTTACCACGGTATGCCATAACTACGGTCATATTATAGATTGGTAAACGCTTATAAGGATTGATGACGACACAAAATAATCCTGAATAAGTCTAGAAAAGAAAAGAAAAATTCTATTAATATTAAAAACCAATATATGAATAGTCATAATTACATAGATAAGCCATCGTCCATAACGATCACGTAGTGTAGCCAAGACTGAAGCATCATTCAAATAGGTTAAATCAGCCATATCATCCATACACCAATATTTCGGTGGATTCATTTCTTGAATTTGATCTTTTTTGAATGTTTTTGTCTGATGAAAGACAATAAAATAGTATTCTTACAGAATTTCAACTCGAAGAAAAATAATTCACATACTTCTCCTTTGCTAGTCATAACTGTAACTTGATCATCTTTCGTGCTTTGGATATCGGCAGCAATATACGATTCCTTCGGGTCAGGTACCCAACATGCTTTTTTAGCATCGAATGGTTGAGATCGAAGTTTAACTTTTTCATCAGGTGGTAAAACCAAATATTTCATAGCTTCAACTAATTCGGGGTTAGACGGATCGAAAGCCATCCTGTAATCAGAATTCAAAATAAAATTGTATTTCAACTAAGTCGACGTACCTGTTGATGAATACGAGTTTAGTTTAATTCAATAAATGTTCGAATAGAAAAAAGAGCTAAAACAATATTTCCTATGGAAAAGAAAATATGCAGTTTTCAGCGCGCAATACCTGGTAGCTGGACGAGCTAAGAATGTGTGTTTGTATACAAACGAGTACTTAGCTCGTTAGCAAGCATTTATATAGTCTCTACAAGGAAACATCGGAGATAGAGAAGGAGAAAAATAAATGTTATTGACAACAAATGGTTATTCTATTATTGTTCTATTACTATTAAAGGCAATCTTTAATACATTCTCTATCTTGCATACTTACGTGTAATATCATTGGTATACTGCGTTTTTCTCAAGAACGCGATATCGTTTATGATATTCCGTTACAACTATAAACGCTTGTTGAAAGTTCCATATGACACATTTGTTTGACCTACTAGTGATCTACCAGCAGCTACGTTTTCATTGTTTAGTAGAACCAAAAGAATAAAAGCAGTCGGATCACTGAGAAAATGCTTATAACATCAATTCACATATTCACACATGGATAAAAATGCGTGAATATGAGAATGTTTGGATGAATTATAATTTATTAGCACGAGCTATATTAGATAAATTAGCTAATGTTGAAAGTAGAACAACACTTTCAAATATATATTCAAGGGTTGATGTTGAAAAAACAAGAAATGAACATAATGAAGTGCCTATCTAGAAATAAACATTTTATTCAATTGCATCTAACTTTGTGAATTGCCTGTGTTCAAAAAGTTCTTTTTCAGACAAGCATGTGCACAAAGAAATAAATCTTGATAATGATATTGTTGTTGGTTTAAGAACTGTACGAGCGCATATACGATCATTCGCACAACGAACAGTTAATTCATGACCAATGTATTTAAAGATAGATGGACTATCGTTGAATAATTAGAATAAAAAATAGTTCTCTTACAGTAACTAATCGATTTAAATTTATTGCGAATGATATAAAAAACGATTTTGTATGAGTTTTCAGATCAGTTCTATTCGTTAGATCAACAGAGCTGTCAGCTACTTAAAATTATTCAATACACGAGAAATCTCATTTGTGCAATTTTTTCTGAGTAACCGGTAAAATTTTTTCAACAAAGAGTCGTTTAGTTACGAAGATTTTTTAGACAAAAACGGCTTGAAATTGATACAAAGACGTACATATTGCACATCAATCGATAGCTCTCGGCTTGTTTAACTGAGTTAGATGTCAGAGAGTGTTGCTGGTCTCAACACGTTAGGACCAAATACTAGTCAGTTTGCTACGAAATAACCAGAAATTTGAAAGAAATCTCGCCCTAAATTTTGCGTACAAAAATGTTTTAATAATCAAGGATCACAAAGAAGAAACAAATGATGACAATGAATAATAGAACTAAATAGCTGATTTGATGCTGTACAAAACGGATGTAGGTGGTGATTTTGCGTTCTCAAAGGCTTTGCTCACACCCACACCCTTTTCTGCGCAATAATATCCACAGTTGAACACCCATCCATGAGCCAAACGAGTGTGCATGCATTACATTGCATGGCAGCACGTTTCATTTTTACAATTGTGATTTAATTTTCCACACTTCCCTTCTGAAATTAGAAATGGAATTATAATAAAGCATTGCTGTTAGAAAATCCAATCATGATAATCATGTTGGTGTATTCTGTTATTAGAACTGTTGTAGGCGTAATAGTCCTCCCATAAGTATTAATGTTTACATTCTCTTTCCTTTTCTTCGCTATCAATAGCAAGATTAAGACAACACTTGGCTACATATGAATAGGATCTGTCTTTCAATTTTTGGATTTCTTTTCAATTGTCTCCGATTATCTAAAACATGAAAACAACAGGTAAAAGACTGATTTTGTGAAATAATTCATTTAGTCTCAACGTTTTCATTGAGTCCATCCGGTTTATGGTTTTGGTCGGAAACAACTAAAAAAATGCAAAATTAAACAAAGATATTAATCTGTGTACACAGAGGCGAGTATGGGTCGCGGCTCGGCGAGGGTGCTGCACGGATAATTATTCTTTTTATTAACTGAAGTCGAATCTCAAGTTTCATACGAGTGAGCAGTTTTGGCGTAATGAATGGATACATAGAAATAGGTATACAGGAAAGTCCGCATAGAATTGAAAGTATAAGTTCAAGATGCAGAAAAGAGAAATTTTAACCAAAATGATTTTATTTGATTTAAGGGTCTGTGCAGGTAGCTTAAATCATTGTAACTATTAAAATGATCGAAAGATGAAAAATAAGTAACTCACTCTACAAAATTAACCTAGCATTTCACGAAGAGTTCGGTGAAATCATAGTTACCTTTATCATAGTTTAGCAGCTGCTAAAATACTCCACAAAAGGCTTCTGGAGTACACCAGTTTTGATGATTCGAAAATCATAAACAAAATAGAAAATCTATTCTTTGTTATACAACCTGTATGACACATACACAGGAAACGATTTTTTGTTCTGTCCTGATTAGTGTTACTGATCTATTCTGTTTTTTGCTAGTAACAGATAACCAGTTATGAGTCCATACTCTAGTTGTTATTGATTAAAGTAAATATTATTATTAGGTATCACTTTCATATGCAAGAAATATAATAAAATAGAAAAACTTCTTAATTTTCACGGCAAGATCGAAAATACGAACTATATATTGACTGTATCGTGAATGTGATAACTTAAAGCTAATAGCATTTTAAAAATAATAATAACAAATAGGTAATATTTTACCAAAACAAGTTCCAAAGAAGTTTTTTTGTTCTTTTGCATCGATTTAATCAATAGAACATTATCAAGCTGGTCTGGTTTAAGGTTTATGATGGATGTGTATGTGGGATTGTAATTACTCTGTTTACCCACACCCACACCCGCACACACAAAAATCAGTGTTGATAACAATCCGCTATCATTGTCAACATTAGTCATTCACGTGAAAACAGCTCTTTTAAATGCTTTAGCTTCGTCATTCTAGTTTTATTTTCAATTTAACAATGACGATGTATTGTTATTTTATCTCTGTATTAGTTTTAATTATTCCAACGGTTATTTCAAACAGTAATTCATATATAAATCTCCATGGTTTAACAGCTGGTGGATGGGAATATGTGAAAGATTATCTCACAGAAAATATCATCGAAGAACGAGATTTAGGTGCATCAATATCTATATATTATGAAGGAAAAGTAGTCGTCGATCTAACAGCAGGATGGTTTGATAAAACAAAAACTGTACCATATGACAATCAGACATTACAGTTAGTTTTTTCAACTACAAAAGGTTTAACGGGTATTGCTGTTGCACTTTGTGTTCAACGAGGTTTATTAAATTACTCATCACTAGTTACCGATTATTGGCCAGAATACGGACAAAGTGGAAAAGCAAATACAACTGTAGCTGATATTCTTTCACACCGTGCTGGTTTACCATTAGATAATTCATCATTCGAACAGTATTATAATTGGTCATCAATGGTTCATAAACTAGAAAAAGAAACGCCATTATGGGCACCAGGAACAGCACATGGTTATCATCCATTAACATTTGGGTGGTTAGCTGGTGAACTTGTGCGACGTGTTGATCATTTGAATAGAAGTCTAGGAGAATTTATTCGAGACGAAATAACAGGTCCTTTAGATATTGAATTCTATGTTGGCCTACCAAAAGAGAATGAATATCGTGTGTCGCCGTTAGATTTTGGATTAAATCATTCATCTTCTGAACAATATGATGCATTTAATCAACAAAGTACACACGAAGCAGAAATACCAGCTGGAAATGGAATAACAAATGCGCGATCTGTAGCAAAACTTTATGCATCTTTATTCAATGATATGGTTGATAATAAATATAAAAGATTATTAAATGAAGATATTTTAAAGGAAGCAACGAAGTCCAATACGCCTGTAAATGAAATAGATCTAGTTTTAAATGTTACAAGCGTATTTAGTAAAGGCTTTTTATTAATGGATCAAGCTTTTCCAGAGTTAGGTCCTGGCTCATTTGGTTATAGTGGTTGGTTTATATAAAAATTTCTTTTTTAGACTTTTGAATTTTCATTTTGTTTATTTATAGGTATTGGAGGATCAATTGGCTTTGCAGTGCCGGAAAAAAAGTTATCCTTTGCATATGTGATGAACAGAATTGACACTGCAATACCTGTGGACGTTGATATTAGATATAAATCATTGATAAAGGAAATAGCAAAAAAATTAAATAAAAATAACAGTTTATCAGTAAGACTTTCAACGAGTGTGTTTGTTTTGTCAATTATTTATTCATTTGTTTCATTATAAAAAGAATCCTTTAAAATTTATTTCAATTTCTTTTGAATAAAAAGTAAATACGCCATAAAACGTTTTTAGAAAATGATAGTATTTTTTATGTTTGCTTTTACTGATTGAAAAACTTCGGGTTTAAGTATCAATTCAAATAATGCTCTCATAATATTCATGAATTAGAAGCTTGTAAGTGGCTTCAAAGAAAAACTGTACATATTCTTTCTGTTGTTCCTGTATTGTCTGTATTTCCAGGTCACCAAGATTATCTCAACACAAACCAATCTGCTATGATACCATTGCTTTTAGGTTTTTAAGTGTATGTTACTAACTTTTGGCTCTCTTCTTCGATTTTCATGATCTTAAGCATTGTTCATCTATACTTAATCTCTAACATATTTCACAATAGAAGCAGCTGAAGTCAATATATCCTATTTATTCGGACTAACTCATCATTATAATGAGTGTTGCAGATGAGTGAAAGTGTTTAAAAATGAATGCGAGTGCAGATCTTTGATAGCACATGTTGTGGCGTTCAATGTAAAGTTTTATACTTGATCGACTTTTTAAAAATAACCTTTCGATTTTCTGCAACAATTTTTTCTCGAGTTATATTTTTTGGATATTTTATCTCTTTTTAAAGACGGTCACAGAGTCGCTATATTACACCATATCAGCTACCATCATGGCTTTCTAATAAGACTAAAAGAGATTGTGCACAATTTGGTGAAAAAATGATTGGTTTCTTTAGGGTTCAACTTAGTTACCAAAAATGGATTTTATGATGTACGCCTCAGCTGCAGAGTGGTGTGGGTGTGTGAATGCGGGTGCGGGTCTATTTATACTCTTTATTCACACTCACACTAACACCTGATGAGATCCGTTGAGCTGGATCGAAACGCGTCGTGGTAGCTTCCTACATACGTTGTTTCAATTCATTTGAACGAGTTCGCGTTTATCTTTCGATTTTCTTTTCGAAAATTGAACTGAGCAAATTGGTCTTGAATTGATTTTGAATTTTCTTGAAAAATTCCGAATGGTGTGTGTGTGTGAGTGTGTCACTTTTGGTTTAGGTGGATGCGTGAGAGGAGTTGTCTCTTTAAGGGATTATCTACATCAAGACTAGAGGCCCCATCATCTCTGCCAACCCCATCCACACCGAGACAGTCACACCCACGCGACACCTTCAAGCTAACTCAAGATTCTGCATCTTTGTTTTCGTCTTATGTACGTGCTATTATTTTTATCCTTCCCTTCTGTGCGAATTATCATTTGACTACACATGAGATATGAAATGGCCTTTTTTTCTTTGATTTATCTGTTCAACCTGGTACAGATTATGAAGTAAGCGGATAGGGAGAGCCTTTGCCAGATCGATACTTATCGTCGTGTCTAACTCTTCCTACTGATTGTTGAATTGAAGGAATATTTGAAACTGACTTCTGAGTGAATTCATTTCGATTGGTTTTCTTGTGTTGGCGTGAATGAATGTGCACGGGCGAACATGAGAAATTTCAAAATCGAAGTTAGCCACCTTGAATTCTACGATACCTATTACATTATGTTGAATTTTTGGCGTAAACGACGAGTCATTGGACTTCCTGTGTCATCCAGAGTTTTATTCTTGGATAATTAGAGAAAGTTACATAAGCCTTCACCACCTAATAGCAACTACTTCGCGGTGTTCGAATAACCCCGTGGTACATTTATATTTTTAATTCGCTGATAGGGGTGTCAATTTACATTTTATTTAATTTAAATTTAACTTCGTGAAAAGTTAATTTAATTTTAAATAAAATTCTATCAAGTTAAATTTAAAATAAATTTAAATTCTTCTGATGCAAAAA